CACTCTCCTCCCAGGGTGCCTGGCTTCCTTAGCTGAGTTTGAAAGCCCTGATCGTATTCTATAAAACCAGTATTGTCCCTGTGGGGAAACGTGGGGCCGTATAATCATGCTTAGGGTTTTGAACCCATAAAACAACAACAGCCACCCTACTAGTACCTCTGATGTCTGTCATCCAGTCAGACTCAGGCATTAATCCAATGAGAAAAACAGTGCCTCCCCGAGTTGGGAGCCCACCTGCTGGGTGAGTTGGCCTGGGAAAGTCTGAGCCTGTTTCCTCCTCTGCACAATGGGGCTCACGCTAGTACCCACTCTGCGGGCCTCTTGTGAGGATTCAGTGAGTCAGAAAAAGTGTGGAGCAGAAGAGTTGGTGCACAACAGAGAACTTTCTGTATATCTGCTTTCCTCCATCTCTATAGATAAGGAAAGAGGGCCCAGAGACAGAGAGGGCAGGTCACCTCCCTGGTGTCACACAGCCGGTGCCTTCCCGGGTGAGGGTTGAATCCCTTGTTTTCCTGGGAGCCCTGTGCTGAGTGCTTATAGATCAGGTGATGTCACTGCTTCTTTGGCACAGTCTGGGAGGAGTGAGAACTGTCACGATGCTTGTTTTACAGAAGACATGTTCCTTAGGGCCAGACACATAGCTGATGCAGGTGACAGGATGTGAGTCCATCTCTGAGCACAGCCTGAGGGACCCCACTTCCTCCCTCCCTCGCCCTTGGTGCTCTGTTCAGCTCAGTTCTGACACTGACTCCCCACAGGGCCACAGTGGAGTGCTCAGTTCCTCAAGGCCATGATGCCATTTGCAGGCACTGGGCCTCCTCCTCCGGAACTGTAAAGTCTAGGGCTCTCAGGAGCACAAGCTCGGGTGACAGCTCCCTAGGTGACTCACAGAACTCAGGGACAGATGCTCTCGCCTTGGCTAGTCATTCTAATGGACACAAGTCAGGAGCAGCCATGCAGGTGAGCTGCGCAGGGTGATGCTTCTAGCTGTGCCTGCCCAGTGCTGCCTGAACCACAGGCCAGGGCCTCCAGACTCGGGGCTTTCACATGTTTTGACCTCAGCCTGAGAAACATTTCCTGTCCCGGGAGTGCGTGTGCAAGCATGTGCTCACACACACGCACACACACACACAGAGCACAGTTTATAGGGGAAAGCCTCTGAGGAAACGGTCCACCTGAGTTGGGGTGGGGTTAAATAAGATGAAAAGAAAGAAAAGTAGCTCAACAGTGGTGCGTAGACCTGGCACATCCCAGAGGCCCACCCTGCACTGCTGCTGTCTCCTCAGCCACACAGCCTCCTGCATTTGGTTTCATCTCAACTTTGTGAGTGTTCCCCACTAAGCTGTTTTGCCAGCTCCTTTTTTTTTCTTTTTGAGAGAAGGTCCTGTCATGTTGCCCAGGCTGGGCTGGAACATCTTCTGTGATCTTCCTGCCTCTGCCTCCTGAGTAGCTAGGATTACAGGCAAGTACCACTGCAACCAGCTTGATTTTTGCTTTTAACCTCGGGTAGTCTCCCTGCCCAGCCACCAGCGTAGTCATTTTTGGACACGACCCAGACCATGCCACTCTTCTGTTCCCATGTTTGCCCAGGGCTCCCATCTTGTTTGAGTTCAGTCACAAGCCTCCAGGTGGGGGTAGGGTAGCAACGATTCCCAAGCACTCACTTTCTATGCTGAGTTAGGGACTCTACTCCAGGACTTCAATAAATATTCAGAGCAGTGTCTTTAGGGGGCCTTTGTCATTTGCTCAGCAGATGCGTCAGTCTTGGCTCAGAGAGGTGGTATGACTTGCCGGAGGGCACACAGTCAGGAAGTGTCAGTTCAGGGCTGTCTGATCCTAAGGCTCTCAGGCTTTGGTGGAGACTAGGGCCCTTCCTGCCTACTGTGCTCATAGCTGGGCTGTTTTGGAGGGAGTATTCCTGAATGCTAAGGGCTCTGTCCTAGGTGGGCTGTGCTTTTAGCCCAGGATGGGCAGTCTCAGGTAGACACCCCCCATGTAGGCTTCTTGGTTGTCTAGGGCAACCGATGTTCTGCTCAGCCTGGAGGTCAGGGATGGACTTGCCCTGCACTGCAGGCCCAGGCATCGAGGAGAAGGCAGCCAAGCTTGTGTCAGATGCTTCCTGGCCGTGCTAGTGGAGGGATGTGTGAGGCTGGTATGGTGGGCACCATTGGCACAGGGCTCATAGGACCCCAACAGTTCAGCTCACCCATGATATCCTTGCTGCTCAGAGGCATGGCAGGATTCTCTGTTGAGGAGGGCCAGGGCCTGGTTAGGGAAGGGCCCTTCCCTGGGAGGGACAAAGACAGACCGGGTCACTTTGGCCTGGCGATGGGTGGAGGCCAGGTGCACCCTCTGCTCCCCTTGCTGTTCCCGTGCGGGTCCTGAAATTGGCTTCCCAGTGCCCAGCTCTGTGGGAATGGGGCTGGCAGCCATGTGAGAAGGGCCCTGATGACACACCTGTCCCCGGCCTTTGGCATATGCTATGTGTTTCTCTCTCTTGGACAAATTCAGCCCCGTTCTGTAGCTGGGGAAGCTGAGGTGTCTCCAGGAGAGAGAGAGAGAGCTCTCAGGCAAAGTAAACTTCAAGCTAAGACTCATCGAAAGAGACAAAGAAGGCACTACCTACTAGTAAAGAGAATAGCCCAACAAGGAGAGCTAACACTTGTAAGTATATGTGCACTGAACAGTAGAGCAGCTGTCTTCATGAAACAAATATTGCTAGACATAAAAGATCAAATAGCCTGGGGTTTGGCTCAGTGGTTGCACCACCTGCCTTGTAAGCACAAGGGCCAGAGTTTGATCCCTGGTAC